GGGTTTGAACCGCCAGCCTTCTGGTTAGCAGTCAAGTGCTTTAGGCACTACGCTACCAGAGTTCCCTTAGATCATAGATAGTTTCAATAAAGGGTTGTTAATTTATATTTTATTTATGGCCTATTATCACTACACAATGAAACAAATTTCAGCAAGCATGATTATCTTACCAGTATATAGTATAATATAGCATAGGCCAGAGTGCATAAATTATTTTACTGAAATAACCAGTACTAAGTAACCTCTGGTAGCGTAGTGCCTAAGGCATTTGACTGCTAACCAGAAGGCTGATGGTTCAAACCCACCAGCCACTCCTCAGAAGGAAGGTTAGGTCTGACTCGATAGCACATAACAACAAAACAAGTAACCTATAACATACAAATCTGTTATGGTAATATACTCATATGATGAATATTTAAATATAACACCTCAGTATAGCTCATTGCCACGAAATATCAGTAATACAGTGGGTCAAATCAAGCCACTCTAAATGTAAAAGTATATGTAGTAAAAGCTATATATAAGTTCTGACGATAGAGTAGTAAACTGTCTTAAGGTTGAGATGTCCAGATGTTTTCTTATATTAATTAGTGTTTTAAAAATTATTTTTGCAAGTAGTGAAAACTCTTGCAAAGTGAAACTTCTTAGCTCTTATCATGTCAAACTAACAAAAATTTATGATAATGGAAAATTTAACAGTAACATATCTAAAAAAGCACAAGCAACACACAACTACAGTATTACAATCTTTCAATTATAAAACAATGGATGAATTACGAAAAAAGGTAACACTTACCTGTGTGTCTTTCTTGAATACCAGAGTAAGCTTTAATTAATAATAGCAACTATATTAAAGCTATAAAATAACAGCTAACTAGGTACATTCACAGCCATGCAGATACTCTAAATATTCATTTTAAAAGTACTTAGTACTACGTTAATCACAGATCTATGAAAAAGAATAATATGACATACAGAAACTCTTGTTTGGCTGTGCTTGTAGGAGATGTAGGAAAATCCTCCAGTCTACAGATGAAGATTGAAGAGAAAGCAGGAAAACAAAAAGGAAGCAAATAAACATTCATGCATAAAGTAGTCAACTGGCAATCATCTGGAAAGCTTTTCCAATTTCCCATTTTGTAAAATTTTTCCTTAATGTATCTTTTACACTATTCTTTGGTTGCTTTTCCTTTTAATTGAAGTTAGAAATGAAAAACCAGAATAAATTCAGGAAATCTTAACACTACTAGAGTTTGGCAGGTAGGGAATTAATATCTTTAACTTTTAAAATAAAACAGTAAAGGATTTTTGCCTGAGTTTAAAATAAAAGCAAGAAATACAAACTATATAATACTTTTTAAAAAATTCTGTCTTATAACTATTATGCTTTGCAAGTTTAGAGCCCATTTGAAACCACTGTCTTAAAGATAAGAGATAATGGAGATAAGAGGTCTCTTAATGTTCTGAAATGATCATTTATAGAATAAATAAAAACACATGGGAAATCTAAAGAATTTTGTTTTACTTTTTTGAATAGGCTAATCTAACAATGGTACTTAAACTTTTGGAAACTATGTGATTACTTTCTACAGAAGCATCCTGGTGAGGGAAAAGGAGTAAAAGTACAAATTCTAGCACCTCTTCTTAATGACTATGATTGCAAGCATTTTAGGCAAATACTCTGATCTTTCTAAATCTCAACTTACTGTTCTGTAAAGTGGGGATTACACCATCCCAGTTCACAGGATTGTTGTGAGGATTAAATGAAATAATCTATGTGATATTACTATGTTGGAGCATCAGAAGAGTATAATTGTTATATAATAAGGCCTTTTCTCCCATGTTGAATGGACAGAGAAAGATCTTGCCTCTCACACACAATGTAATTTCCTGGTCTGTCTTAAAACACTTGCTTAGGAATTGTGATCTGGACTACAGGCAGTCATTAGGAAATATATTCACTTTGGTTCTAGACTTATAGGTTCAAATTATCCCAGCAAAGTTTAAGCCTGATACACTCTCCAGAAAGTGTTGAGATTACTGGGCTCTGTGGATACTGATTCTTACCAAAATTCTTTGCAGAAAGCTATTGCTCATCTGAAAATATTCTTTTTAATAAGTGTCCCCTATGATGGCTATCATTTAGATTTTTAATATATTGTAACTAGAGTTGTAATTAACTGATCACAATTCTTAGTCAATCTATGATTAATATTTAATTTTTATAGTGCTGAATCAAGCCTCTATCAGCATGATAGATGTTTCATAGGATAATAGTAGTACAACATTACAACACTAACTACTTATATTAAGAAGAGCAAATTCTTAAAATCTGACTTAAATTGTTAAGCACATTTTGTAGTTACAACATAAAATTGGTCTAAAGAAAGGAAGTTAAGAGTGAAGGCTTATACTACAAAGCCTACGAACAAAGTCAAATAGTTATATGTATTGATACAGATTAATACAGTACAAAAAGTTCGTAGTTCAAACCCATCCAGAGGTGCCATGGAAGGCAGGAGTGCTGATCGTTTCAAAGATCACAGCCTTGAAAGCCTATGTTCTGCTCTGCACATACAGGGGCATCGTGCATGGAGAATGCCTCAGAACAACTAACAACAACAACATGGTAAACTCACTATGGAGTCTCTGGGTGAACAGTTAATACGCATGGCTGCTAACCAAAAGGTTGGTGGTTTGAGTATGCACAAAATATCTGGGAAGAAATGCCTTGTAAAAAATCTGTCATGGAAAATCCACGGATCACAATTCTACTTTGACACATTGGAGTTGCAAGAGTTGGAACTGATGCAATACCGACTATATTTTTTCTGGTGACGCAGTGCCTAAGGCATTTGACTGCTACCCAGAAGGTTGATGGTTCAAACCCACCAGCTACTCCATGGAAGGAAGATGAGGCAATCTACTTCTTTAAAGATTTACTGCCTTGGAAACCCAGTGGGGGTTGCTATGAGTCAGAATCAACTTGATGGTAGTATGGTAGTGGGTTAGAATTTATAAAGGCTTACCTATACCATTAGATAGGAGCTCTGGTAGCATAGTGGCTAAAGCACTTGACTGCTAACCAGAAGGCTGGCGGTTCAAACCCACCAGCCACTCCTTGGAAGGAAGGTTGGGCAATCCTACTTACATAGTGATACTGCCTGGGAAACCCAAGGAGGGGTCGCTATGAGTCGGGGCCGACTTGACGGCACATAACAACAACAACAACAACATACCATTAGATGGATTTCATATTTCATAGATTCTTCGGGTAAATTCTTTAAATGGTAAAATAGCATGAGAAAGTTTTGAGAACTAGCTCACCGTGACCCTTCCTTGAATTTCCGAGGCAGTATCAGTACGAAAGAGATTGCCCAACCTTCCTTCCAAGAGTGGCTGGTGGGTTTAAACCACCAGCCTTCTGGTTAGCAGTCAAATGCCTTAGGCACTACACCACCAGATGTCCTATGAATATGAACCAGTAGTTTGTTAACATAATAGTGTCTATATTCTTTTTCTGTGATTCTGTTTCACTTAACTACTTGAATTGAGTGAATTTTTGCATCTTCTATGTCAAATTGAAATTTGTACTAAAACCATTTTTCTTATTAGATAATGTTACAGTGTACTTGGGAAAAAAATACATTCTTCTGAAAACACAGTATTTGGTGATGGTGTTAAAGACAGACTCTCAGTATCTGGGAACATTCTGTGTATAAACTATAAAACTGAACAGGTATGGATTCATACAAAGAGTTTAAGTTTCCTATAAAACTATAACAAACAAGTGTAAGAAAATAATAAAAATCAACACACTTACTGTATATTTGGTGTAATCCCTTCAAGCAGCACAATATTAACCCCACCAATGTGAGCAGTGGCGCATGTCTCAGTCATCTTTTGATGTAAAACATCTTAAATGTGAGAAAAAAAAATTATTTGAATATTAGAAAGATAAACACATTCATATCAAAACTGTATTTTATTCATAATACAGTGACAAAAGATAATTTTAAAGTTACAAAAAAATTTGTTAAACTTATTTCAGAACTATTTAAAAAATTTCCCTAAAGTTATTTTATTTCTATGCATATATATGTACACACATATGCTATGCCAAAACCATCATAATGTTTAATAAGCAGTTTAGTATGCCATTCAAGCATTAAATAGCTTTAAAAAAATAAAAACCCAAACTCACTGCCATTGAGTCAAATCTGACTCATGGTGACCCCCTGGGTTTCTGAGGCAGTACATCTTTACAGAAGTAGATTGCCCAGTCTTCCTTTCATGGAGTGGCTAGTGGGTTTGAACCACCAACCTTCTGGTTAGCAGTCAAATGCTTTAGGCATTATGCCACACACATATATCAAAACTGGAATAATGTTGAATATGCAGTTTAGTATGCCATTCAAACATTAAATAACCTAATGGCATTTTAAATCTCTGAAGTAGCACTTCATCAGTACAGAAAATTTAGAAAGTTCAAACCAACAAAAAGAATAGGAAAAAGAAACCACATAAATTAGCATCCTTGGTCCATATTAATTCCTGTGATTTGAATATAAGATATAAAAAGAAAACCTTTTTATTATTTCCAAAAGGCCAATCAAATCATATATACTATTTTTTTCCTTCCCTTTTCATTTGTAAATATAAACATTTTTCCACATTAATAAATTCTGCAATTTGATTTTTAATTGCTATACTGTAAACTTGCAATATGGACATGTGGTATAGTAAATTACTTTCTGTGGCTTTTCTACCCATAAGTCTTTGTAAACTCCAAGGTGGAATTTGCTATGAGCAACTGAGGAGCTCCTGATTGCTGAAGGTGTCCACCTGGAGTATTTCTGTTGGGAGTGGCACAAAACAATGTTCTGGGAGGTGCCCACT